TGTTACTCAGTTTCCATGTATTTGACATTATTTCCTTGATCTCTTCCTATTGTTGATTTCTGATTTTATAGCACTGTGATCTGAGAAGTTGCTTTGCAATATTTTGATGTTTTAAAATATATCTAGAGACTTGCTTTGTGTTCTAATATACAGTCTATTCTGGAAAATGTTCCATGTGCACTGGAAAAGAACATGTATTATGCTGTTAGTGGACATTGAATGCTATGTCCAAATCTATGAGGTTATGTTGTTTAGTTCCTCTTTGTTTTTGTTGAGTTTCTTTCTGGTTGTTCTGTCCCTTTTCAAAACCAGTATATTAAAATTATTATTGTAGATTTTCTATTTCTTCAGTTCTGTTAGAGTTTGCTTTATGTATTTTGGGGTTCTTTCATTGGAGCATAGATATTTATTATGGTTCTGTCCTTTTGTTCAATTGACCCTTTAATCATGAGATAATGTCCTCCTTTGTCTCTTATGCTGGTTTTTGCCTTATAGTTTATTTTATTAGAGATTAGTATCGATACTCCTACTTGTTTTGTATTGCAATTAGCTTCAAATACTTTTTTAATCCTTTAATTTTAATCTATTTTTTCTTTGTATACAAAGTATGTCTCTTATAGACAGCATGTTGAAGGATCCTGTTTTGTTTTTTATCCATTCTGCCACTCTGTCTCTTGACTGGTGCATTTAATCCATTGACATTCAGTGTAATTACCAATTTGTTGTTGTTTTTAAGTGCCATCAAGTCTATTAGGTGTGAATTAATTGCTGTCATGTTTTGGGGGTTTTTTTGTGTGTGGTGCTGCTGGCTTCTTTGTTCTGCATGCTTTCCTGTGCTGAGTTCATTTTGTGTGTGTGTGCTTTTTCTTGTCAATTTATTCATAGTTTTAATGTTTCCATGAATTTTCCTTTTACTGTTATGTTGTGAGGTATTAAGTTTCTTTGAGACTAGCTTATATTCTATTAAATTTTCCCTCCCTTTAAAACAGTCTGTTTTATCTTGAAATCTACCTGATTTCATCCCTGAATTTCTCTCTTATATTTTTCCCTTCTTTTGCATTGTAGTTGTTTTGATCATCGACTAACCTCCCAGGCCTTCTGATTTCATTCTTGTAGTTTTGTTCTGCTCTGAACTCTTCCATATCTCAACAAGTATGGTGTAGCCACATATGTCAGTCTCTGGTTGTTGTCTGCTCTTGTTGGTTTCCAGTCCAAATAACTTCCTTTAGTATGTTTTGAAGTGTTGGCTTGGCTTTTACAAAGCCCCTTCGTCTCTGTTTATCATGGATTGTTCTGATTTCACCATAATGTTGATTTGCTGGGTAAATAATTCTTGATTGGCAGTTTTTTCTTTAAGAATTTTTGTATGTCTCCCATTTCCTTCTTACCCGCATGATTTCTGAGGAGAAATCTGAGTTTAGTCGTATTGGCTTGCCTATGTAGGTAACACTTCTCTTTTCCCTAGCTGCTTTCAGGATTCTCTCCTTGTCTTTGAGTTTGGAGAGTTTGATTATGATATGTATTGGTGATTTTCTTTTGGGGTCTATCTTGCCTGGGGTTCATTCATGTTAACTTTTTAAAATTCATACAGTCTTATATGGCAAGTGTTGACAATTTGGGACAGCACAGGGTTATTTCTTCCCTAGAATGACTTTGCAGCTTTATTTATTTATTTATTTTTAAAGCTTTTATTGTGTATTGAGTGCATGAAGGCTTACAGGACAGATCACAATTTTTACATTCAGTAGATCATTGTAATGATTACAATATCCTCCGTGCACCCTTAGCCAATAGTATTTACCTCTATTACTTTTTATTTTGGTGTACAAGTACCACATTGTAAATATATTTGTGTTTAAGTGTCCAAAGAGCACACTCTGCAAGCCAGCCTCCTGTCCACAGGCACACTGCTTTTCTCAGACCATGGGCCTATAGTCCACTGCTGTTCTGTCTCTCTATGCCATCCCTTCCACCACCATCTCTTGATGGTCCTAGGGTCCCCATGTGCCTGAGATGACACATTTACTGCAACCCCTTTTAGTTGGATCTCTTCTACATTTACGGTTGTAACAAATTCCATTAGAACTGAAAACAAGTAAAATCTTATCCCCGTCATTACCAGAAAGGAGGGAAATTACTCATTTGTTTTCTGTCTTACTCCCCACATTCTGACATTAAACACCCTTATAAAAGCTTGTAAGGCAGCCATTTGTGTAATGATGAGCAACTCTACTTTGAGGAGGCAGCTCTTCCCCAGTCATATTTTGAGTGCCTTCCAACTTGAGAGGCTCATCTTCTAGCACTATATCTAACAATGCTCCACAGTTATTCATAAGGCTTTCATTGGCTAAACATTCCAAATTAGTGTGCCTTTCTTTTTTCCTAGACTGTCGTAACCTGGAAGTTTTTCTGAAACTTGTCAACCCTGGGTGACGTAGCTTCCAGCACCACAGCAACCCACAATCCACCACAGTGTGACAAACTGACAAATGAGTGGTGAATTTTCTTAAATAGATATTAAAAGATACACTAATTCTGAAGCATGTAACATTTTTAAATGTACCTTTCAGGAATTAGATTTCTTGAGAAGAAATCAGTTGATACTCATAAAACTCAACATTAGCTCAGATTTGCCTAAATTTAAAGTTCTAAATCTATTACTTAATATTTGACCCACTGTAAACTTGAATGTCGTTATGTGCCATTGAGTCTATTCTGATTCATAGTGACCAGGAGCAGATGGTGAGTTTGAACTGCCACCTTGTGATTTGCCATACAGTGCTTATCCTACAGTGCCACACCAGGCATCCATCACCTTGAATAGAAGACCAAAAAAAACCCAAAAAACCCTGTTGCGATAGAGTTGGTTCCAAGGATCACCCCATATATGTTTTCTGAGACTTTAATCTTTAGAAGAGCAGACAGTCTTATCTTTCTCCCTTGGAATAATAGGCAGTTTGAAACTCCAGCTTCACCCTTAGTACCATCAGGCCTCATTTTATAACCTTGAATGCTGCTGTTAGGTGCTATCAAGTCGCCTCAGACTCATAGCAACCCTATGCGCAGCAGAATGAAACACTGCTTCCTGTTGCCCTTGAGTCATTGCTATTGCTATTGTGCCGATCCATCTTGTTGGAGGTCTTCCTCTTTTCACTGCCCCTCCACTTTACCAAGCATGATGTTGTTCTCCAGGGACTGGTCACTCCTAATAATATGCTCAAAGTATGAGAGACTAAGTCTCACCAGTCTGGCTTCTAAGAAGCATTCTGGCTATACTTCTTCCAACACAGATTGGTTTATTCTTCTGGTAGTCCATGTTAGTTTTAATGTTCTTCTCCAACACCATAACTCAAATGTTTCCTTCAATTATGTAGTCTTCCTTAGTCATTGTCCAACTTTCACATGTATATGAAGCTATCGACTATACCATGGTTTGGGTCAGATGCACGTTAGTTCTCAAGCTGACATCTTCGTTCTTAAATACTTTAAAGAGGTCTTGTGCAGCAGACTTGCCTAATGCAGTATGTCCTTTGATTTCTTGACTGCTGCTTCTGTAAGTGTTGATGGTTGATCCAAACCAAATGAAGTGTTTGACAGCTTCAGTCTTTTTCTCCATTTATCTTGATGTTATTTATTGGTCCAGGTAAGAATATTTGTTTTCTTAACATTAAGGTATAACCCATACTGAATTATGTGGTCTATGATATTCATCAGTAAATATTTTAAGTCCTCTTTGCTTTCAGCAAGCAAAATTGTATTATATGTGTATCGCTGGTTGCTAATGAGTCTTTCTCCAATCCGGATGCCATGTTCTTCTTCATATAATACAGCTTCCCCGATTATTTGCTCACCATACAGATTGAATAGTTATGGTAAAACTGGCACATAACCTTTTCTGATTTTAAACTATTCAGTGTCCCCTTGTACTGTTCAAATGACTGCTTCTACTAATCCTTCCTCTCTGTTTCCAAAGAAACAAACAGGTGTCTCATGAACATATTTAAGTGTTCTGAAATACCCATTCTTTTCAATGTTATCCACAGCTTGCCTTTGTATGGTCAATAAAGCATAAGTAAACATCTTTTTAATATTCTCTGTGTTCAGTGAAGATGTATCTGATGTAAACAATGATATCCCTTATTCCATGCCCTCATCTGAATCTGACTTGAGCCTCTGACTTGAACCTATCAATTTACTTTTGCAGCCATTTAAAAATATCTTTAGCAAAATTTTACTTGTATGTGATACTAATGATATTGTTCTATGATTTCTGCATTCTGTTTGGTCACTTCTCTTTGGAATGGGCACAAATATGGATCACTTCTAATCGGTTGACCAGGTAGCTGTCTTCCAAATTTCTTGGCATAGATGAGATAGTGCCTCCATTGCTGCTTCATTTTGTTGAAATATTTCTATTTGTATTCCATCAATTCCCAGAGCCTTGTTCTTTATCAGTGCCTTTAGTGCACCTTGGACTTCTTTTCCATACTGTTGTCTCTTAATCATATTCTGCCTCTTGAAATGGTTAGACATCAGCCATTTCTTTTTGGTATAGTGACTTTGTTTATTTCTTCCATCTTCTTTTGATGCTTTCTGCAACATTCAATATTTTATCCATAGAATCCTTCAATATTGTAAGTTGAATCTTGAATTTTTTTGTTACTTTTTTCCTTCTGCTTTTCTTTTACCAGGAGATAAAAGAGCTAAAAATAACATTTCAAAGGGCAACTTGAAAAGACAAAGTCAAGTATTTTAATTAAATGTGCAAAGATAGTTTCCTGAGCCCTGTCTATTGTCTAACAAATATTAAACGTGGCTACCATAACGTCCCCTATAGAAGAATTTCAAAGTTTCAAAATCTTTTTGTTAAAGTTTCAAAGCCCCGGTTACTACAATAAACTTTCTAACCAGACTTCAGAAATAAAATAACTGAAAAGTAAAATCCTTTTGTGAAATGTGGCCTCAATTTATTCGCAAATGATGGAATCCTTGTTTTGCAGATGTGTCTTGCTGAATCTGGCCTCTCATATCCCTGCCACCGACTTACAGTGGGAAGAAGATCTTCACCTGCACAGACTAGGGAGCAGTCTGAGGAGGTAAGCCTGTTTGCCAGCTCTTCATTCTTTTTCATCTGCCACAGCAATGAATAGGTAAGTTCTATTCTTTTTCATCTGCCACAGCAATGAATAGATAAGTTCTATTCTTTTTCATCTGCCACAGCAATGAATAGATAAGTTCTATTCTTTTTCATCTGCCACAGCAATGAATAGATAAGTTCTATTCTTTTTCATCTGCCACAGCAATGAATAGATAAGTAAATGTAGCTTGAAAAAGTCTCAGTAAAAGTCTTGAAGGCAGAAACTTTCCATGCAAAATTATTGCTAATATGCTTCTTCTTGTTAGTTTCATGTTGAAACAGACAGAATTCAGGTGGATTAGTGGAAATGAGTTTTACTTAGAACTGTTAAATTAACAGAGACTTTCTTTGTTGTTGACTATGTAGTTGGATGTATTTATTAAGATTGATCCTGAAGGTTCTTTAACTATGTACCATGTGTTATTTTTGATGCTAGGTAACAAACGTGATTAAATCAAGTGCTCAGAATCAAGTAAGGATTATAAATCAATGAACTAAACTAATAATGATGGCATAATATATTAAACGCAGTTTTAGCAGTGAACAAATGGTTCTGTAGCAGCAGAGAGGAGCAGATATGATTGCACATGTTTCTGTGTGTAATGTGTCTGTGAGGACCTAAACTGTGTTAAAAGGCAGTATATTAATTCTGATTCCTGGCTATGAATTGCACTTCTGTGCCCAATTCTGAACTTCATTATAATGACATGGGAAAGAAAATATGGATATTACAATTTATTCTAACATACAGAGATCTACAATTTACTTTAAAAGTATTAATTGAACTGAACTTCTGGTGTGGCGCTGTGGATTAATGTGCTGGATTGCAAAGTCAGTATGAACCGCAAGCTTAGCAGTTCAAGATCACCAGCTGCTCCTTGGAAACACTATACAGGGTTGTTATGGGTCGGAACCTACTCAGTGGCACTTAACAACAACATTTGAACTACTACTGTTTAGCTGGGAAACTCATTGCCATGATTTTAAAAGTTTATGCAACAAGCATGATAAATAGTATAGAAAACCTTTACTTGCAGCATTTTTCAGAATAAAGAATGATAAAAATACTTGACAATTTGGGATATTCCAGTAAAAGCTCTTTTCATTCTATTTTTACACACTTTTATTTAAACAGACTGCGTGTTTTGGGCACTTAATTAAGAAAGCTGCCAAAGGATATCTTCAGCCATTCTTCATATCATTTAAGTATGTGAAAAAGACACAGGCATGCATAATTAATTGAAGTCCTATCCTATGATCATTTCGTGAAATAGATAATTTGACATTTTTGTTTTTAACATATTTTAGAAATCCACAGAGAAGTGTTTTACCCTGCTACAAATACTACTGTACTGGTTTCTTGAGCCTCTAAAATTGTTGCTTTAAAGATCCCACACCATTTTTGTTATTTTTTTTGTTATAATTTTCACTCCTTATCCTCATGTTGTGTCCTGGTGTGGCTCTGTGGGTTAATGTGCTGGACTTCAAAGTCGGTTTGAACTGCAAGGTCGGTGGTTCAAGCTCACCAGCTACTCCTTATAGAGCCTATTACAGGGTCGCTCTGCGTCATAACAGACTTGACAATACTTAACGACAATAACAACAATCCTCTTGTCTGGACTCCTAGTGTAGTGCTGTGGGATGTAGCACTAGACTGCAAGGTTGGATTGAATCACAAGATGAGAGGTTCAAACTTAGCAGCTGCTCTTTGAAAACCCTATACTGGGTCACTGTGAGTTGGAACTGAATCATCAGCACTTAATAACAACAGCAGTGCATATGAGGACTCCTCTTGTGACTTCGTAGGATAAACGCTGGACTGTAAACTGTAAGGTCGGCAGTTCACACCTGACAGTTGCTCCTTGGAAACCCTATATAGGATTACAATGAATGGAGCGTTGTGGCGCCATACAATAAGGACTGTACTGCAAACCTTAAGGTGCAAAGTTTGACCTCACTAGTTGCTTCACAGGAGAAGGATGAGACTTTCTGCTCCCTTGAAGAGTTAAAACCACAGAAACCCTGTATAAGGTTGCTGTGATTTTGGCACTTATTCGATGGTACTTAATAACAACAGTTCTCTTGAATGGGTCCTTGTATACGCTTTAGGATAAACACTAGACTGCTAATCATAAGGTCAGTGGTTCAAACCCAGTAGTCACTATTTGGAAACCTTGTACTGGGTGTCCGTGAGTCGGAATCAACTCAACAGCACACAACAATCCTCATGAAAGAAAAATGATACTGAGTCTCACTGCTTGAAATATTTCACTCTAGGACTTGAATATATATGTATATTCTAGGACTAGGACTTGAATATCATTTTTCTTTCATGAGGATTGTTGTTGTGTGCTCATATGTGCTTATATGCAAATTCAAGCTGAAGCTTAAGAAAATTAACGTTAAGTCCATGAGTACCAAAACATGATACTGCTAACTGACTGGAAGAGATGCCATATTTGTACCCATCCAAAGAGACGTGAGCAAACAGAGTGCAGAAATGATAGGACACTATCAATACTGTTGCATGAAAGTAACATTTTGCTAAATATAATACAAAAAAAAAAGCTGAAACTATTCATTGACGGTATTCATTCCTGATTCAGAAGAGGTTCATTCCAGATTCAGAAGGTGTCTTGGAATGAGGTAGACAAGTAATCTAGTTGCCTTCTGAACATCTCCATCTGAATTTCCCAGCTCAGGTTCATTCAATATGTACAAACTATCATCTTCCCCAGAAAACTCTTTTCCTCACCTGTTTAGTGATACCATCAGCAGTCCAAGCAAAAGCTATTTATTTTAGTCACTAAGGAACCTAATAAGGAGTTCTGATAGCACAGTGATGAAATGTTCAGCTGTTAACCAAAAGGTTGGTGGTTCAAACCCCCCAGCTGCTTCATGGGTGAACGATGTTGTAGTCAACTTCTGTAAAGATTACAGACTTATAAATCCTATGGGGCAGTTTTATTTTGTCACTGGAGTCCTGGTGTTGGCATTGTAGGATATGCACTAGATTGGTAACTATAAGGTCATTAGTCCAAACTCACCAGTCACTCCTTGGAAACCCCATCTAGGGTTGCTATGAGTTGCAACAGACTTGACTCTGAACAGTAGGGTCATTATGTGTCAGAGAGTTTGATTTGGTTCATAGTCTACTGTGAGTCAGAATCAACTCCATGGCAGTGGGTATAAGATCACTATGAACCAGAATCTGCTTTGATGTCCGCTAGTAAAGGCCACTAAAGGAGCTCTGGTAGCATAGTGGTTACAAATCGGGCTGCAAACCTTAATCTTAAGGTCAGCGGTTCAAAAGTACCAGCCTCTCTGCGGGAGAAAGATGAGGCTTTCTACTCCCATAAAGATTTACACCCTTGGAAACCCTGTACAGGGTCGCTATGGGTCGGAATCGACTTGACGGCACTTAACAACAACAACAACAGTAAAGGCCACTAGTGTGGCCTGCAGGATAATGCATGGATTGCAAGGTCAATTTGAGCCACAAGCTCAGCGGTTCAAACCCCCCAGCCACTCCTTGAAAACCCTTTAGAGTCTCTGTGAGTCTGAATCAACTCCATTGCACTTAGCAACAGTAAGGAATGTGGAACTCTTTGAAACACTGAGATTTTTAAGAAACTTTCCTTTTTGACTATTCATTATAGGATATTTTTATAACAACACCCAATCTGTTGCTTTAACTTGTTAGTTAAGAAATTTCTCTGCTACTAGGGTTCATTTATTCCTTGAATAATACCCAGAATAGCTTCTCCCATAACATTGCCTCTGTACGTATTCCTTCCCTCCCTTGCATTGTTAGCTTTTCCTTCTCTGTTGATTCATTTTCTTCATTCATAAAACATGTTCAAATCCTGTCGTTCTAAAAAATACAGATTTCGTCAAGCTTCTTAACAGATTGACCTATATTAGGTTATTTTATTTCATCTTCATTTTACTTAACTCACTACAATGACTCCTTCTTACCATGTGTATTGAATTTAACTATTAAAATCAGTTAATAGTTTCAGCAAGATACTATTCTGTGTAATCTCCTTTGATATTCACAGCAACCTCTGTGGGCATGTATTAGTTACTTTGTACAGTTAGGCATTTGCCCAAGGTCAGACAAGAAAAGAACAGAGTATTCAACACCAGGTCTTTTGACTATAAATTCAGGGGTTGTTTTTGTTTTTTGGAGTCGTTTTCCATAATGTCACAGCTGTCTTATCTTTAATCATTATCCTGCTAAAACTATTTTCAGTTCTTATCTTCATTGAGCCACCTACCACCATTCTAGAAATTATCTCAGACCTTGCTTTGATGGTTCCCTCTCTTTCAATCCACCTTCAGCTCTTTGACAGTCATCTCTCTGTCTCTTCTACTGCTTTCTCTTCTTTCTTCTGTAAACTCCTATCACTTTTCTCCCTCTATTTTTTAACTGAATGATCGTAGTCATTCTTATTGCCTCAGCTGTGATTTATATGATGATTATTTTCAAATGTAAATGTTTTCTAGACCTCCTGAGCTCTTTGTTTTTCAGCTGCCTACTGGATATTTTTTAACCTGGATATCCTAGTTGTTGTTGTCATTGTTTGGTGCTGTTGAGTCAATTCCATCTGATAGCAACCCTGGGTACAACAGAACAAAACACAACTTAGTCCAGTGCCCTCTTCACAGTTGTTATGTGTGAGCCCATTGTTCCAGCCAATGTGTCCTAGAATGTCTAGACTGCCCTAAAGTTGCCTCAAATTCTTTCTGTCTGAAAACTGATTTCAATATACTTCCTCATTACACTTCCCTGTCTACCCTGTCAGTCACCCATACTAGAAACATTGGTGTCATTTTTGCCTCTTCGATTGTTTTCATCCCCAAATATAAGTGACCACCAATTTCTTTTAGTTCCACTAAAGTATATTTTAAGCCTGCCCCTTCAGTCCATTCCTACTGCTTCTGTTCAAGTGTGGG